TGGAAAGGCAGGTAGGAGGCAGAGTGAGAGGCCTGGCCTTTCCTCCCATGCTGCCTGCCCAGGGAACATGCGGAGATGGACAAGTAGGCCTCCTGCCCCAGCTAGGCGTGCTCCAGCCCCACCCTCTCCATGCCCAGTGGGGCAGTGCTGGCCCAGGCAGCCCAAGAGCCTAACAGGAGGCTCCGTGCTCTGTGGTGTGACCGCCCCCGCCTTGTTCAGGGCAGCCCAACACACTGTCTGCCCACCCGTCCCCACTGTCAGCTGCATGAGGACAGAGTCTGGTGTCTGCTGCGTGTTACACTCAAGGGCACAGGGTCACTGCTCTGTAAGGATCTGAGACATGGGGGACAGTGGGCATCTGTCCCGCCCACCTCTCCTCAGGCTTCAGCTCTGCAGTGCTGTGCTGCCCGGAGTCTATGCCGCTCCTGGGCTCCTCTTGTACTGCTGCGGATCCACACCTAGGGAGCCTGGGAAAGTGCCATCTACTGCAGTGCGAGGAATGCTTGCTAGGCTGTCCAGGGTGACTGAGGACTCCAAACAGCACTGAAGCCCCAGAGGGCAGGGGTTGCATCTGCTCTGGCTACTGGCGATCACAGCCGAGCCCTGGGAAGGGTCTGCACAGTGTGTCTTCACATACGTCCATGGAATGGGGACCCCACCTGCTCTTCCCTGATGTCAGTGGGCCTGGGCCCTTTGCTTCCCCACAGACTCCTGCTCTGGGAAGACCAGAGGCCTGCCGAGTCACTCTCTGGTCTCCTTTACAGGGAATGGACAGCCTTCCCCTGTGCAGGGCTCCTGCTGTGTTATCACAGTGCTTGAGTCCTAGTTACCCTTATTTTACATAATAGCCCCAAAGCACAAAAATTGTGATGCTGGAAATTTGATTATGCCAAAAAGAAGCCATAATGTGCTTCCTTTAAGTAGAAAGATGAAAGTTTATCATAAGTATATATGTATAGGAATAAATAGGGTTTAGAATGATCATGGTTTCAGGGTCTTGGACTGTATCCTCTGGGGACAGTGGGGACGATGGCTTTCTCAACTACTAGGTTAGATCAGCACACTGAAAGAATAGGGATTAGCATTGTGATGGATGGAGATGTAGAGAGGAATAAACAGAAGAATTCGGAGTCATTGAACATTTAGAGAGAGGGCAAAAATTTAAAAAGCTCAAGAAAGCCAGAGAACACGAGAGCCCTGTACACCTACATAGCAGATGAAGAATGTCAGAGTCAGATAGTAGAAAAATACCAAAAGTATCATTTCCTTCGGCCTCTTATGGTCCTTTCTGGGCTGTTCCCATCCCACCTTTTCCTCAACCCTTTGCAATCTCATCAAGGTAGAAGTAAAAACCAAATTAGTTTTTGAGCTAGTTTGAAAGTGCCTCACAGTAGAAATCTAGGAAATGCTTAGATAAAATTAGGAAAATACCTACCTGTATCAGACTACCTTCTGGTGCTTTATTGTTTAGATGATCAGAGATTTTTGCAAGCAGCCAGGAGCTTGGAGGAAATATTTATCACTCATATTTTTTAGAAGTTTGAATATTGTCTGTCTATGCTCTTTGGGATGTGTGTGGTTTGGCATTTTCTTTTCTCTGGAAAGCATGAATTAGGAGGACATAATGGGTGCAAAGCTGGATTACTGCTTTTAAGAGGTCTGATTATTTGAGGGGAGCCATGGGGGAATGATTAAAGTATGTTATGTGCATTTACAAATCTGCCAGAATGGAACTCTTTAATCTGTGTGACCAACATACACTAATAAAAAGTGTGGGGGAAAAAGTTTTGATTTTTTAAAAATTTGCTCACATTTGTGGCAAACAAAATATAAAAATTAGGCTTATTGGCTGTAGATACACCATGCTCACATCTTCTCAAAATGTGCAGAGTTTATTTAAATAAATAAATGCTTGTAAGGGGTCAGGTACTAACTTTAACAACAATATGTAGCAAAACAGTACTAGACTTTATTTTTGTCTAAAACAAGTTTGCTTAGGACCTCATAGGGCTAACACTCTATAACTCGATAGCATGTATGTCAATAGGATTACATTACTTTATTTGGGAATCTTAAAATAGTTGGGAGGCTTTTTTGCCATTTCTTCTAATAATGCTTCAGCCTGCTGTTGTGAGTATGGAGATCCTGGCCCGGCCGCTGAGAGAAACAGACAGCCCATCTGGAGCAGGCCTGGGCGCATGAACTGGCACTGTCAGTTCCTCCCCTGGACCATGAAATTCCAATAGAAGTCCCTTTGTCTAGATAGGGGACTGACTCAGAATAGTTTCCCTGTTCTTCCCTCTTTTCTTATTTTTACTCTTTTCTCATCTCTTATTTTAAAAGGCCAAATATATAAAAAGTATTGTTTCAAAGTAAATAAAAACAAGGAAAATTGTAGTCTGAACCCCCATGTACACGTCACCCAACCATGAAATTATTGTTCATAGACAGACATTACCCCACCCTCACTCCCCTACTTCTACCAAATTATTTTGAGGCATTTGAGGTAAATCTCAGATGTCATATCATTTCTGCTATAATTATTTCAGCATGTGTCTCTAAAAGACAGGAACTTTTTTTGGTGGTATGTGGTATAGGGTATAGGCTTTGCATATGCTAGGCAAGTGCTCTACAAGTAAGCTACATCTCCAGTCCTATTTTAAGTTTTAATATGAGACAAAGTTTCAATAAGTTGCCCACACTGGCCATGAACTTGCCATTTTCCTGCCTCAGCCTCCCAAGTAGCTGGATTATCGGTATGTGCCACTGTGCCTGGCTAGATATGATGGGTTTTTTCTTTTTTTCCAGTACCGGGGATTGAACTCAAGACCTTGCACTTGTGAGGCAGGCACAGTGCCACTGAGCTAAATCCCTGGCCTTGATAGATATGACTTCTTAAAAATCATAATGACCATAGATTTACCACTTCTAAAAATACCGACACTTCCTTAATAGTATCACATATCCAGTCAGGTTTAAATTTCCTCAATTATTTCATAAGTATCCTTTTACAATTAAGGATATGACTTGACATTCAAACAAGGTCTAAACATTGCATTTCTTAAATATATTTTGACCTATAAATGTCCTCATCCTATTTTATTTACTAAAAACAGATCACTTGTTGTATTGGGTGTAGATTTTGTTGGCGATGTCTTTGCAGTGCTGTTTAACAAATTCTTCTGTTCCCCCATGCTTCCTGTAACCTGGGTGTTAGATCTAGAGATTTAATCTGATTGGGTTTGGCTTTTTTTTCCAAGAACATTTCATAGGAGGCATTATAAACTCCCAAAGGAAAGAATTTAATATTTGGTTTCCTCTATTTTTGTGATATTAGCAACTACTTATTTTCTTGAAGATTTTCTTTCCTTACTTTTGCCTACTCCTTCCTGTGACCATCAAGCTACATTCCCCTCAACTCCACCTTCTCACACATCCCTCTCCTTGTTACTGTTTTAAGTGAAGAGAAAACGATTACTTGGTTCTAAGCTCATTTCAAAGATGTCTCCTGGGAAAATAATCAGAAAGTTCCGTTAACCTTCAGTATATGTAAGTGAAAATTTCAAACTTCCCACTAATGGGGGACATGGTTGCTGTGCCTATTTAATCACAGAGCCCACCTCCCACCATAGAGCCTGGCCAGCTAATCACCTTTTGAAGCTCTTTCTCTTCATGAGTATATTCTCATCTTGTGCCTTTAGATGATGTGTGGAGGAGTTCTTTGGAGGTGCAGTGGCCATCTTCTGACCATAGAGGGCAAGCTTGAAGATTAAAACCAATGTGCTCAGGATGAAGATTTGGGAATGTGGAAAGAGTCCAGTCCTCAGGAAGTCATGGAGCCATGGAAGTGCTAAGTAGGAGAATGGGAACTCCTGAATCTGAACCTCCTCCTTTGCAGCAAAACAGTCCCCAGGTTTCCAAGTGACTGTAGAAGATTAGCAGGCAGAGCCAACCTGCAAATGTGCTACCCCCAGACTTCTTATTATGGTTGATTGTGAGTGTAGTCCACTTTTAGTTGATCACTTGCAGCTACAAACAACCTAACAGACATAGTGGGCATGTTTAAATAAATCTCTTTTGTGTTTCTGTTTGCTATTTTTAAGCCCTTGATGTAGTGGGGAAAAAAGGTCTATTAAGTCCTGACCCAACATTTCGCATAAAATTGAACTCACTTATGCACTTGAATAGAATGAAAATGATGATTCAGTTAGCACAAAGCCATGAATCATGAAAACTAAATTATTATGGTAGCTTATTTTACATAAAATCAGCTTTTGATAGGATATAAATTGAAAAGCACACAATATAAGTAGTAGAGGTAGAGGCTTTAAAATATCTATGTTGATGATAGGAAATGAAATTAAAATATTTTGCAAGGATTATTCTCAAAGCACATAACTGAGAACTGACTGAGTGTTGGCAACAAAGGAAAATTTATCTCCTGTTACATGATGTGGGACATAACATTCTTATTAAGTAGAATTGGAATTTTCTGAATCTCCTTTGCAACAAAACAGCTCCCAAGTTGCAAATTGAATCACAAGATTAGTAGGCAGACTGATGAGGATTTAATTTTTAAAATATGCTGTAATGTTTGATGTCTAAGAAGCAGCCATAAAACTGAAGAAGTAAAGGACAGCTGATGATCTGCCCTGTCCTTGCTCCTGCTTGTTCTCTTTGCATTCCCAGACTGTGTTGTTTGGAAGCAAAGCTCTGTTGTTTTCTGGTCAGAAGATTGCACCTTTGTGCCTGTAGACAAGGTGATGACAGCCCCGGTTCCAGGAACCCTTGCTCACAAGCCTTCTTTGTGCTGGGCGAGGAAGTTCTAGCTTGGGATTGCATGACATCACCATGCTCCCACCCACTTCTCTGGATCCCTCAACTCACAGAGAGTCATTGTTTGTGGCTTTCGATCTGAACAGCTGCTGGCTTTTCCTGGCTTCATCACTGTGAAGATGGTGATCGTGCAATGCTGATATCAAGAGATCTGTGCTGCAGTCGGCCATGGATCAGACCATCAGCCCTGGGCTCTGTTTAGGAAAGTCTGATCACCATAGCTGTAGCACAATGCCTCCCAGCTTCCCTAGCTGGTCAGAGGTTTCCCCCACACATTTCATTGTTTTGGGTGCCTTCTTAGGTCGGATCTCATCTTCTCTGCCCAATAAGCAAAATTCCCCATGTGTCTTTAGAAGAATCCTTCTGAAAAGGGATTTCAATTTAGGTAATACTAAAATTAGGCAAAGTAAGTCAGGAGTCTAACTATGAAAAGGTACCTAATGAGAATTCCAGCTTCACAATAAAGTTCAAAATTTTTTAAAATGCATGAAGTATTGCATTTAAACAGTTGAATAGAACTTGTTTTGGACAAGCCACTGAAGGGAACACTGCAAAGCTAGCATTCAGCTTTCAAGATTAAAGAAGAGCAAAGAGCAACTTCAAAGCCCATTGGGGAATCTATCATGCTTCCCAAGGTGGCAAGGCAGGTAGTGGACTCACTGCTTCTTCTGACACTGGGGGCTTGGATGCTGAGTCCAAGGGGCATGCTTGAATCTCCAGTAACTTCTGTGGTACTTGATGGAGGTAGCCAGGTACACCAGAGGAGTTCAGGAGATATTCATGGGCCTTACCTGGATAACTCTTACCTGGATCTAATGTGTCTTCCACACTAGATCAATGCATCTGTAACCATCTTTCTGTCCAGAGCAGGAAAGCACGCCTGAAATGCTGTGGAGGATGTGTATACTTGAGATAATTTTTCAGGAATGTAGAGCTTTGATTTCTCGGATTTTCTTTTTAAAACTATGAGCAAGAATAAAATAAAATATAGGAGAGGACAGACAATCCTTGAGTGTAAGGAGATGGATAATGGCTTGGGGCAGCTGAATAAATAATGTATATTTATCTGGCTCTCTTGACCTTACCCAAGCCTTTTTACAACTACCAGGTGTGTTATGGACACATTTTTCTATGAAGTCATCAAACTAAATAGAGTGGATCCTGAATGACAATCAAACCTCTAAAAAAGGAAAGCAAGAAGAAAAGCATCACCATCATTTCCTCTCTGAGATGTCCTTTGTCTTTGTCGTGGAAGCATAGACTCAGGGGTGTGAGATCAGATTCGAGACTGTGCACTGTCACATGGCATTTTGTGCTTTCCGCCCATCCTCATTATGGGCTGCTTGGGTTTGTCCTACACAAGTAACCCTGGTGCTCACTACACCCCAGGAACAATTCAATGATGCTACCACAGTGTTTTGTACCTGGAATGGGAAGGGCTCGGAAAATGCTTGATAAGTAAATAAAGCATGTTTTGTTTAAGCAATATTTATGAACAGTGAAGCTTCCTCTTTATGTTTTTTAGTTTCTTGGGTCAAGGATTACATCGCAAACACCCTTGTAACATCTTAGTATACAAACGTAGGCATCCATTTGTGGCTGCTGGTGGCTAAGGGAGTGGAGGAGGGCCACACTTCTGCAGGCCACAGGGGCCCAAACATCTGTATCACCAGCCTTGCCTACTTGGCATCAGAAATGGTCTCCCACTTCCTTTCCTGGTCTCGCAGATTCATGGGAAGAATTGGAAAAGGACCTGAGAGATTGTTCTGTCTAAACCCTTTATCTTATAAATGACAAAATTAGGGTCTAACAAGATAGAGTGTCTTTGGCAGAACCAAGAAAAAAATTTGAGCCTCCTTGAAAGTCATTTTTCTTCTTGAAGTATTTTTAAATTTTATCTAAAATATCTTCATTTCACTGCTCTATATCTGTCTTCAAATAGTTGCTATAATCAGTTACTTCACAAGAAAACTTTAAAAGCTTTTTAGCTAGTTATTTCTCACATGACACATTTCAGAATCTTAAATAAGAAGTTCTCACCAAGTCACCAAGGTAGACTATATATGAAAAGCCAAAGATAGGTGTCATAAAAAGATAAGACATTTTCAAAGGGGTTATCCAAAAACTAGTAACAAATCTTCCCTGCCTACTTCAAGGTAAAAAGATGTTGGAGCTATGAAGGGGCTCAACAAGCAGCACCTCTCTTCCCCTTGCAAGTTCTGGACAAATTGCAAAACAAAATGAAAGAAAGCAGATGGAATAAAAATATCAGCTTCAGGTGATGAGGAGGCCAAGCGTGGTGAGGAGGGTGCTCCTGGGGACCTGAGGATTAGGCTGCTTGGCAGCCAGTGTCTGAGGCGGGCTCTGGGCAGGAGTGGGAAGGGCAGGGCCCGTTGAGGGCCAAGGAGAAGCCTGCAGTGTTAGAGCTCGGGCTGGACTTTCCTGTGGACCCCAGAGGCAAGGCTGGGAAGAGCTACTCTCCAGCACACAGTTGGGGAGATTGGGTGTGAAGAGGCTTTCCCTGGAAGAGGATGAGCTGCAAGCCACCCCACCAAAGTGGACAGGCTACCTGCAGATCCTCAGTCCTACAGTTGCTTCTTGGAGAATGAGCACGGTGCTGGTGTGCTACTTGGATCTGGAGAGGAGAGTTTCTTACCTTGGAAAATTCCAGGCTAACAGGAGAGAGGCGGCTGGGCTGGATGGGCCAGCAGGGTAGGTGGTGAGGGAGAGAGATGGGGGAAGCTCTTGTCTAACAGGGCCACTGAGAGGGGCTATTAGCCTTCAGCAGGGAGAACCTAGAGTTTTGCCACAGAGCTGTGGAAGTTCTAGAAATTGAGATGACAAAAGGAACATCAGGTGAGAGGTCCCAGAAATGGAGGTGGTGGTGTAGGCGTCTGTGAAGATCCCATGAGATTATGCCACACAAAGAAGAGGATGCTGTAAATATCATAGCCTAGCCCGGAAAGGCAGAAGCCACCTTCCAAAGCAATCAGTTACTGAAGAGCTCCCCTCACCTTTCCCTCTTCAGGCTTTGAGCCTTTTTATTTTGAGACAGAGGCACACTAATTTGCCTAGGCTGGCCTCAAACTTCCAATCCTCCCACCTCAGCCTCCTGAGTACCTGAGATTACTGGCATGTACCACCACGCCTGGTGCTATAGGGCTTTTATTACCTAACAGCAATAAAAACAACTCACAGGAGATGGAGGTTTTCACTTGGGAGCAAGGAAAGGACCTTCTCCTACTGAATAATTTGAAAAGATACAGTGAGAATCAAAAATAGAGTTGCTTCCTCATTTGAATACATTATTTTCTTGTTCAAATTGGAATGCCTATTCACTTCATTTTGTTGACCTATTTCTCTAACTCACCAACATGTGATTGCTTCTGATATCTCTAAATTTATGAAGGATGGGACATTAAGAGCGCTGAACATTCCAACAAAGGCCTGCATCTCAAAGGCAACATTGCTACATTTTCCTCAGGTGGAAACTCCAGGGCTGTTCCTCCAGCAAGTGGTGAACTGAGAAAGGAAAGTGAGCCAGTGTGGTGGTGCCCGCCTGAAATCCCAACTTGAGGGGCTGAAGCAGGAGGATGGAAAGCTTGAGGCCAGCCAAGCCTAGTGAGACTCGGTCTGAAAATAAAAACAGAGAGGGCTGGGGATGTAGCTCAGCACTCCTTGGGTTCAGTGACAGAAAAAAGTAAAACAGGAAAGTGATAAATATATTAGTCAATAATGTTTTTCAGTTCATTGCAAGGCAGTCTGTGATCTCCTTCTCCAAGCACCTCCCAGCAAAAAGCACTGCTATGAAACCTGCTGGTGGGTAAAGCAAGCCAAGGATGTTCAAAATCTCTGTCCAGTCCTGCCCAGAGCCAGTAGAGGAGTCAACTAACCGGAGGTCTGATGAGCAGCCCACAGCACTCTTTGTCGTTCGATCATAATAGTTTCCCTCTGTCAGACATTAATGATTCCAAGGCTGCTTTTTCCTTTATTATATGGGAAGTGATTGAAAACTGCCAATCATGAATCTGGCAGTCCCTGCTCATGAGTTTAAAGACTGTTCTGATTACAGTAATTACATTTTTATGAATATCCTACCTAGAGAGTAACAATTTTACTATGTCAGGCTACACCACACAAAGATACCTCAATTTCATCTGCAATGAAAAAATAGAGCCTAATAGCACAGTTATATTTGTATGATAGTCAAACATCAAGATGCAACATAAGTACTTCAACTGAAAGAATTCTGATCATTATTTAACCTTGAGATGATTAAGGGTGAAGGCTTGTCAGCTTTCCTGAATTACTTTTTTCGTGATTTTTGCTGTTTTGATTTGATTTTTTAAAATCCATAATTAACATTTATTAACATTTGGATTCCACTTCAGCCCCCATCATATAAGGGAAAGGCAAAAACAACAACAAAAAGATCAATAGATATGATTAATGGTCAAAGAGCATTAGGTAATTTATAAGGCATAATTAGCTTTCATTTTCAATAATGCATGGCAACTGGTTTTCTCCTTTAATCAGCTGTTTCTTCAACAATTATGCCAATTACAGACAACGTTTTTAGGTTTGGTGGCATACAAACATATTAGTTTAACGCAGAGAATATTTAATTATTATAGATAGAGACCAGAGCTACTTAAAGTGTGGTTGGTGGTCTGAGAGCCTGTTGGAAATGCAAATTCTCTGGCCCTGCCCTGGACCTGTTGAATCAGAATTTCTAGCTGAGGGCACAGAGCACCAAGCCTCCCCGGTGGTCCTCTGGCATCTTGGCATAATGCAGGGGAAGCTGTCTCTGCAGAGGGACCCCGAATGAGCCAGCTGTTTTGGCAAGTCTTCGAGACCAATTCTTCTTCAGTTTTTGATCTCTTTTCTTTAAATCTCCTGACTCAGTGTTCCTCAGGGCATAGTTTTTTCCCATGACCAATCATAATTGTTAATCCGTCATCCCTGATGGAAGGGATGTTTATGATTCTCTTCATCATAATGTGAACAGATTTCTACCACCTGGGTTCTCGGTTGATCCTTCCCATTTGTTAACGACCATTTCTTTGAAGTCTAATAAACGACCATGTATGTATAGCACCACACCTTAAAATTTTTCACCATCTGATATGATACTGTTCTATATTTCCTTATGGCAGGATCCATACTCTATCACCTTTTGAAAGCACCGTGGGTCATATATGCTTACCAGAACTCATTAGAAAGTGGCCTGGACAGAGAGCATACTTTGTAGGCACTTCATTGACAAAAAAAAAAAATCACAGTAGAACATGTGCAGTACAGAAGGCTGATGCCCACTGTTCGAGTCTGAACTGTGCTGTTGCTACTCAGTTTTTCTTTGGCAGAGACAGAAAGGTGGCCCTTAGCATGTGGGAAGTGTATCAGAGAGTTTGAAGATGGATATGATTTTTTTAATATGTGATAAAAAGCACACAATGTAAAATTTGCTGTTTAACCCTTTTTAAGTGTGCAGTGAGTAGTGTTAAATATATTCACATTATTGTCCCCAAACTGTTTCATCTTGCAAAATTGAAACTCTATCTCCATCTTTTAAACCAATAAACCCCCTTCCCTCTGTACGCCTAGCTCCTGGAAGCCACCATTCTGCTTTCTGTTTCGATGAATTTGATTCCTTTAGATATCTCATAAAAGTGGAATCCCACAGTGCAAACATTTTTCTTTGGTTTATTTCACTTAGGATAATAAGGCTTATCTGGTAGATAGTTTTTAAGAAAAATATTTTAGAGACAAATAGCATCCTGATGCATTAGCACACAAGGGCCAATGTTAAGTGGAGTAAAGAAGTATGACAAAAAGTGAAGGCTACCTTAGGGATTTAATCTTCACATCATATCATGAATCTGTCTATATGAATACAACTTTAAAAGCCCAGTGCACGGACGAAACCTTTAGAACAGTGATTCTGAATGAAGCACATTGAGGCTACCAATACCAGTTCTCTGGGCTCTAAGGATTCTCATTTTGGTGGGTGAGGCAGGCCCTGGGACTCTGGCCGCTTCCATGCAGGTGGCTCTTCACTTTCCTTGTGAATGACACTGAAGATTGGAGCCAGGAGCTGAGGGCAACACACGTGAGTGCAGTGCAGTGAGAAAGCTCAACCACTTTCTCAGGGTTTGGCCCTTCTTGCATTCTCATGATTTATCATTTCAAGCTTTTGAATAACATTGCATTCTGCCTGGTTCTAGAGTTTTTTGTGCCCTGGCCTCAAGAGCTCCTCACCCTCAGACTGTAAGCTCCTTGAGACACACTCTACCAGCCCTCATCCCGTCAGCTGAGCTCACCCTGTGCCTTCTCACTATTGAGCAGATGCTGTATAGTATTTGTCACATGGATGAAAACAACAGGGTGACAGTGCAACGAGAAGAGTGTGACTGAACTAGTCAGAGGGTTACTCTTGGCCCACTTCCCAACCTGAAAACTGTGA